CCGCCAATCAGCCCCGCTCCCTCGCCGGCTTGCCCGGCGCTGCTCCGGCTGGGGGCGCTGCTCGGGGTGCGCAGAACGCGAGGTCCCGCCGGGAGGCTACTGGCGATCGGTCCGTGCCTCCCTCTCTCTGGTTATACACTGGACCGATGGGGACCCGCAATTCAGTCTCTGCCCGGCGGGCCGGTCAGGGGCTGGGCCGCCCCGGGACTCATCCCTGGCCAAGAGAGTGGGCGCCTCGGAGCCGTGAGCTTCTGCCTCTCAGTTTCCTTCTGGTTTGGCTCCCGACTGCCACCTCCTCCGGCTCCCGCCCAGCCCTCCCGCTGTCGCCTCCGCCGGTCCTTCCTCGGCTCTTTCTGCAAGGCAAGTGGGCGCTCAGCCGCGGCGCGCAGACCTGGCGTCCGACCCAGCGCAGCGCCGGGGAGAGAGGGTCCGGCGTGGCCGACCCAGAGCCGGAGAGAGGCAGGAGTGGGGGAGGGGAAAGAGAAAGGGAGGGGGCTGTCAGTGGCTGCCCCTCCCCTCCCCTCCTCTCCCCTTCCACGGCAGGCACCGCCCCCGCCCCGGAGCGCCCCCCGCCACCCCGGTCGCTTGGAGGGACCACAGTCTCTCTGGCTGGAGCGCAGCTGCGCCCCGCACCCGCTTTGGCTGGGGGTCCTCCCACCAAAACTCTCCCTTGCTTCTTTCCAGCCTCCAGAGCCGGAGACTGCCGCTTATCCCTGCGCCCCGCGGGTCCCGAGGCCCTCTCCGCAGACCCCCGCCTTCAACTTCTTACCCCGGTTTGGGCAATAAGCTGCCCCGCTCTTTGTCCCAGGCCCAGGCCATGGCGGGTGGGTGGGCGCCTTGGGCCCGGGAGAAGGGCGGAGCGCTGTGCTGGGCCGGGGACGAGGCTGGGTGACGGCGGTAGCGCCGGGAGTCTGCAGTGTGCGAACGAGAAGTGAGCGCAGAGCGCCCGGCGAGCAGGTGCCAGTGGCGCGGAGAGCGCAAGAGCGAGCCAGAGAGCAGCAGCCGTGAGTGACGGCAGAGGCGGCGGGGGTGGGGGGGAGAAGCGCCCGGCACGACTCAAGGCCCCGGAGGCTTCCGGGCGGGGGTGGGGTTCCTGCACCTTGTTCGCTGGCCCCTGCGTCCCCACTTGTTCTTCGCGGGTCGCGGCCCTCGCTTTACCAGGTGCAGGGGGGTATCCCGAAGAGGCAGGAGGCAAAGGTCGGATCCACAGCCGCGTTCCGGAGCCCATCCCCCGGCTTCGCATCCCCCCGCAACCCGTACATCTCACAGCTTTCACCCGGAGCCTTCTCCCTCCTCAGCCGTCTGCGGGGGTGCAGTCTGGTCCCCAAAGGGAAACGTGGGGCGGGCTTGTGGTTTGCAGGGGCACTCTGCTGTACGGGCGACTCCCACACCTCGGCTTGGCTCTCTCTTGCTTCCCTTCCTCAAGGGAGGCCCCGGTCCGTGGATTTCGGTATCTCTATCGCTATCCCTGGTCTCTAACCTCTTAGCTCTGACCTAAGGTTGGGGTGAGAGGAGCCCCTGCAGACTCACGAGGCTGCTATCCCTGCTCACTAACCTTCCTGGAGGCTCTGCCAGAGGGCTCCCCAAGAACTAAGGAGAAGGAAAACGACTGGGCAAATACTTGCCAGCAGCTGAGCTGGTCCAGGATGCTCACGGGGGTGGGGGGGGTTGGGGGTGGGGTGGGGAAGAAGCCGCAGGCCCTTTCTAAGCTATGTCTTTACCAGCGGGATGCCCTGGGCAGGGCCATTTACCCCTCCTAGGCCTGGGTTTCAGCATCTCATCTGTGGCCAAGGAGTCATTCCTACCCACTCAGGCCACTTTTGCTCATCTATTGAGCCCTTGTTAGGCAAGGCCTCTGGCTAGGAAGGGAGGAATGTCTAGGGCCTTCCTTTTCTTCCTACAGTTTCTCTCCAGGTGCCCCAAGGAAGCAGTTGCCAGCTGCCTTCTGCCCTTTCAACTCCCCCCGCCCCACCCACACACACCCCCCAAGAGGGGACTTTCCCTTGATAATTCCACCTTCCTTTAGAAACTACCCTTGGATCCCTTAATGTAAAACCCTGCAGGGCCCGCCTCATTGCTGTCCTCAACTTCTAAAGGGAGGGGGCAGACTTGCACTGTACTGCACAGACTCAGGACACCAGTGGGATTCTAGGAAAGCAGATTCATTTGGGGGCTGATTCCAAGCAGGGTTATGATGGCAAGAGCTGCCTACTGTGCAGTGGTCTGCCTGGAGATGCAGCGATCTCCTGTCCTGATACCAGCTCCAAGTCAAGCTGGATGGCCAGTGATCAGGGATGCACATGGGGAGAATTCCTGCAGCTAGAGGGAGTTATACCTCGCTTACTTTAAGGTTTGTGAATCTTGTAAACCTGTACCACCTTGTGGGGTGTTTCTTTCCCACTGCATGAGTTGGTGTTATTATTAATAAGAATAATAGCTATACTTTTTTACATACTCTTCATGTACCAGGCACTTTCCATGCATTAGTTGTCAACATGACAACTGAGCAATCCTTCTCAAACAGTATTCAGATTATTATTCCTCTGCTCAAAACCCTGCAGTGGCTCCCTTTTCATTCAGGACAAACATCAGTGACCTTGCAGTGGTTGATAAGGTCAAACCATCTGCCTTCCACCTCCACCTCCTCTGTCCTCATCTTATGTTTGCTGTCTTTTTCCTGATCACACTCTTCTAGCCACACTGGCCTCCTTCCTACAATACCACTCACATGGTGTATTTCCACCCCCAGGGCCTTTGTACCAGGTGTTTCGTCTGACTGGGATGATCCTTCCTCTGATACCTGGTTCACTAACTCTGTCACGTTCTTCTGATTTTTGTTAAGAAGTCACCTCTCAATAAGGCCTGCTGGGACCACCATTTTAATATTGCAATTTGCACTCTTCCACCCCCCCACCTCCAGCACTCCCAATCCCTCTTTGCTCTTCTTTTTCTCCTTTCCTTAGCGCTAACTTCCTTCCAACATATGATCCAATATCCTTATTTATGGTGTTTCTTGTTTGTGGTCTGTAGATTCTACTCAGTGGGGCTCTTTGATTGCTTTGTTCCCTGATGTATTTCCAGCACCTAGAATAGGGTCTGGCATACAGTAGGCACTCAATAAATTGTTGTGGAGTGAATGAATGAGCTCATTTAAACCCTATAACAGTGGGTAGACACTGTGATTTTACCCATCTTAGAGATGTGGTGGCTGAGCTCAGAGAGCTTGAGGAATTAGCCCAAAGTCACACAGCTAAGTAAGGCTTCAACCCAGGTCTGTCTTACTCTGGCGTCCTAATTCTTAACCCAAACACTCCTACCCCAGGTGAGACTGTGGTCCTTGTTCCTGGAGTTGGTATAGAAGGTAAGGCCCCTCTGCCTTGACTGATGGCAGCCTGGTGAGGTCTGAGCTAGTTGTGCATCTTCTTCCCTGCTTTTCAGGGGTGCACAGCAGCTCTGTATCGAAAGGGTCTGTTTTCTCTTCTGTCCTGTCTCGTAGACTCTGAGGCCACGGCTGCATCTTTCTTCTCTGTGTCTTTAACTCCCAGCTGGGGCTGACCCACGCATAGGGCTCCGTGAATGTAGGAACCAGGAGCACTGTTAGGAAGTGTCGAGAAGGGGTGCTTTGCTCCTGCTTTCCTGGGGCTTTCCTGATGGGCAGGGCAGGGACTTCTGTCTCTTTCACCTATAGCCCTTTGGCCATTTGGAGGATCCGTGAGCTGAAACCAGGCAGCAGCCCCCACCAGTCCTTGCCGATGCCTGGCTGGCCCCCGCTCCTGCAAGGAAGCCAGTTCCTTCTCACTGAGTCAGGGTGGGATGTGGTCTCAGTTGGAAGCTCTAAGGAAGGCATCTGTGGTGGAGTATGTGTGTTGCTTCTCCAAAGGAAAACTACTCTCTGGGGACACAGCTCCTCAACCCTACCAACTGCCAGTGTCCCTTGGGTTTCCACAAAGATGCCCTGTTTAGAGGGAATATTGGCCATGTGAAATGAAGCTGGTTTCCCACAGATGGATTTGTGGGAGAGCATTTCAGAACTGTTGCATCCCCAGTCCTGAGTGCTCATCAGTAGGTAGTGACAACCATCCTTTGGGCTACAAGGTTTTTCCCTCCCTCTCTCCATCCACAGGCTCTGAAATGCCTTCAGAATCGCTGTGTATAGGGACTTGGAGGTGAGCCCTCCTGTAATGTGATCAATAATCACTCAACCCACCTGACCCACGGTCTGGCAGTGCCTGGGGGCTTGCTTGTGCCCATCCTCAGCTCTCTAACTCACGCCCACCGTCCACTCACGCCCACCGTCCGCTCACGCTGTTCTGATCAGGCTGTGAGTTGAGGTATGCAGTGCTTGTCAATACCATTTTGTGGATGAATTCACCGGACTCTCAAAGATGCTTCAAAAGTGCTAGTTAGAAAGACTGCCCAGCCTCTCATGAAAGCACCCTTAAATTACAGCCCTGAGTAAATGGTTTTCCTGGAAATCACTTTCAAAATTTATTTTAATGTTCAGGCCCTCTTGGAGTTTTGGTTTCGATAGTCTTATCTCGGCTGACCTTTCCTGTCCTCCCCATACCACGTACAGCAACATTGATTTTGCGTAATGTATGTTGATTTTAAGATTCAGTCCATCCATAAACTTTTCCATCAATAATCCCGGCCACACTCTGTGTACCCTACAGCTTAAAGGAAAAGATCAGATTTATGGGGACTTTTATTTTTGGCCAGTTTAGTCATTCACTTGCCATTAGTGTCAGGGGATAAAGGCCTGAAGTCTAACCCCAGGAGACTCCCCTCCAAGGGCATGCCTCAGGTCAGCTGCTGCAGCTGAGGGGTGGTGGGGGTGGCAGCGGCG